GACATGCACTCACATGCACACACATGTGCTCACAGTGTTGGGGGATGGGATGGCCCCAACTTTTTTCCCTCTTGCAGTTTGATTTTCGGGAGGGAAGGGTGTTTTTCACCACCCTACCCTGTTAATAGAGGTCAATTTTTTTTTTTTTTCCGTCATATTTTAGTGTTTGGGCGCATAGGATTCAACGGGAGACCCCCGTTTTTTTGTTAAACGGGATTCAACGGGGCCCCTGGGGCAATTTAACGGGGATCAACGGAATTTAACGGTCTCCGTTGCCCGTTGTTAGGACACACAGTCCAAGGCATGGACTTTTCCTAATCTAAAAGCGACATTCGTCATTCTTCCTACCACTTTGATTTTCTCCTCATCAGAGGAGATAAGGTGGTCCCCCTCCATTAACGGGATCAAATTTTTCTTCCTTCCTACTCGTTCCACCTTCAGGGAGATGGCTAATACCGCTGCCCTTGAGTCGATGATAGCGTTGTATGGGACTCCCCAGATTTCAAATCGCACTCTGCGGACTTTCATGGAATAGCCTTGATATGTAGGAAGTGGTCATCTTTTTGGATCAGCTTTTTGGATCAGCCCCAATCGTATTGGATTCGAGGTGCTAGGGACGTTCAGGTTGTCTTCATGGACGGGGGCCTTTCCTTTGACGGTTGCTAGTTTAGCGAGGGCGAACCGTTTGCTGTTCGCCTTGCAGTGTTGCAACATCTGGTCGTTTGTCTTTTCCGATATGGACAGGAGGTGTCCGATGGGTAGGGGAATTCGATGATTTAGTGCCCGAACGATGTTCAGGACATCAATCTCCCCGTAACGAACACAGGGTCGCCAGACTCCACTTCCTCGGGAGATGGTCTCCATTTTGTTACCTCGCGGTCCTCAATCGTGGGACGGATGGCTCCAATCATTCTCAATCTCGGATAACCCAACGAGAGGTATTGATCGAGTGGGATGAGCTCCGCAGCTTCTTCGGTGGTAACCATCGCACTCCCCCATCCCTCTACTTCTTCCACCATCGTGCTTACTCTCCCTAGTCCGTTGGCCATGGGCTCAGCTGTTGCGGGGGCTGCTCCTATCCGAGCTTGTGCAGGTCGGTTGGAGCAGTCTCGTGCTATGTGGCCTGGCTGGTGACACGTGTAGCATTCATCTATCTGTATGCCTGTATTAGCTACGGCGCCTCCCACGGCTTGGTCAGGGGCTACTCCCGGAGCTACCGGCGCGGCTCGAACAGCGATGGGGCGCATCGACCGCATCAATTACTCGATTCGGATATTGTGCTCGCGTTGCTCTTTCTTGCTCTCCTGCATTAGATTAACTAACATCCGCGTTAATTATAGGATCGCACTTGATTCGTTTGGCTTGGTAATTATATCTGGAGGATGGGTAGGTGCAACCATCATGGGCGGTCCTGGGGCTGTGTCCGACATCGATCTGTTAACTCCCACTTGTTCTAGGAAGGTGACGGAGCCTGAGATGAAGCCCATGTTTTCGAATTTGTTATGGAGTGCAGCTAACTCCGTTTTCACCCTAGCCAATTCTGAGGAATCTCCTTCCATAGCGTGATATTCTCCTTCTAGGAAGCTAGCAGCAAACTTCCGTTCCATTTATTTTGCCCCGTCCATAATCTGTTGCATGGTGTGATTGATGAGGAAAAATTGCTTTCGCAATTTCGCCCGCATTGCGCGGCTTCGGAGCCCATCAATGAACAAATCCCTGCCGACCTTTTCGTCTCTGTAGGATTTGACGAACAACCTGTTGAACCTACTGCAATATTCCGTGACGGACTCAAGGGGTTTCTGGACTCGATCTTTTATCATAAAGAAGGCTTGTTCGGGGTGTATATAGTCAAATTTGTGCAAAAAGTCCCTCTCGAAAGTCGGAAGGTCCACCCAAGCATAGGTGCTGAACCAATGATGCACATCCCCTCCCAATCGGGTCGGGATATTAATCCTGGTCTTATCAATGGTTCGCCCATGCGCCAGCAGACGAGGTTTCACAATCGAGAAAAAAGAGAGGCCAACGACCAGACCCACGGTGATCGCTGGCAGCGGCAGCCAATGGTTCTTCTGACAGAGCAGGCCACCTCCCCTACCCTTCACCACGTTAATTCTCCCAGCGCACCCCCTATTCCTACTATCCTACCTCAGTGTGACCAGCACTCAAGTCCATCACCCTACCAATATCGAGGGCAACTTGGACCAGACAGCAGTGACAAGCACCAAGGCTTGGCAGCCCCCGTACCATACGAGCAACAATGGCAAATGGCACCTATGTTCGATATGCCAGACTTGGGAGATCAACAGAACAACCACGACGAACAGCGACAAGCAAACCACACAACATTGAGACCCGGCATACCACGCCATGGACAACCCTTGGGTGGTGCGCAGGCAGTGTCTGTAATAGCTTACCTGCGTCATCCCAAGCGGGTATGCAAGTGACCATGCGTTATGTAAAAGGCTAAAAGATTTCCGGTGTCTCTGCATGAAGGTGTGGAGTTTTGAACCCACACCCTCAGACAACAATGTGAATTGATAACCGGTGCCCTAACCACTGAGCCAC